ATTTTGGTGGCTGGGTCTGACGAGGATTGCGAGGAGTTGCTTGCTTCTCTCAACAAGAAATTTCCCACCAAAAACCTTGGAGAGTGCGAATGGTTTGACGTGTGCGCTATTGAGAGAGATGTAGAGGCTGGGACTCCTAGAATCTCCCAAACCGCGTACATTGATAGCATGGTGAGACGCTTTGATGTGCAATCGACCGACCTCCCACATCCCCGCTACCCCTGGTGCCGACTTAGGACCGAAGCGAGATGACGAGAAGGGAGGGGAGTGGCCGGTGAGGGAGGCCATCGGCAGCATGATGTGGGTGTCGACGTTCTCGCGTCCAGACGTCTCGTTCGCCGTGCGTACGGTAGCGCGCCACGCCCACGCCCCGGCGAAGAGGCCCTGCGATGCCATCCAGAAGATCCTCAGCTACTTGAAGGAGACGAGGGACCTCGGCATCACATAACAACGGGGATCGGGGTTAGGGCTGGCCGTGTACGTAGACGCTAGCTACGCCGACACGGAGGATAGGAGTTCGGTGTCAGGGTTGGCGACGACGGTTGGAGGTACCTTAGTCAGCCATGGTATGCATAGCAAGACAGAGAGCATCGTGTCTTTGTCTTCGACGGAAGTCGAATACATTGCTGCCGGGGAGGGCGTCAAGGAGGCGTTGTTTGTGCGTGTTGTGCTTTCGTTTGTTGCCCCAGGGACCAGTGGTAGCAGCATCCAGGTCCTTGAGGACAACCAGGGGGCCATAGCGTTGGTGCAGGACCCCCTCAGCTCAGGTCGCACGAAACACATCGACGTGGGGTTTCATTTCATCCGCGGATTGTTCAGGTCGGGAGATATTTCGGGCAAGTTCGTTCCGACAACGGAGCAACACGCGGACCTCCTAACCAAGGCCCTTAGCAGGGCTAGTCTGCAGTATCACCGGCGAAAATTGATGAATTTGCCGGAGTAGCTGTAGCAGTTTCCAGCACTTGGGACAGGTCACGTTTTCCATGCGGGGAAAGGCGCACAACTGTTGCGGTCTGCAATGGCAGGAGTAGGGGGCGTTGGGAGACCATCGTCCGGGGAAACGTAGTTCCTCGCGTTCTTGTCTTCGCCTTGGCCTTTCTAATAAGTGCGGCCGTTGTGATCCGCTGTGATAGTGACGGTTTTTGTGGTGGTCGGGGATTTTTCGAAGGGTTTTGCCCGGACGCCGGGTTTCCCCTCTATATGTTACCATGTTGGTATTTTCTGATGTATCCAGGGACGTTCTTGCCCCATTGATGGTTGGTCACTTGTGCGAAGAACCAGGGAGGGTGTTCGTGGGTCTGCGAACATTGGTGTTGGATATATGTGCTGGATGATTTGGTGTCGCGCAGATTGGTAAGATTGCCGTTTGGTAGGGGGCACCGCGATGAGTCACGGGGCCCCTCCTTGCTGTTGGAGCCGCTCTGTTTGGAGCGCTCCCTCTTTCGTCCGTGTGAAGGACGGTCGTCTACCTCTCGTGAAAATAATACATGACCAAAACAGTCTCACCCGATAAATAAGTGGCGTAGGCCGCAAACATGCCCTGCATGCTGTTGTTGCTGCTGCAGGGCTTCAGCAGGTCCTCTCGGCGTCTCGCATCAAAGACGTCACATGACCATAAACGGCAATTTGTTGTTTTTGGTTCATGCTATCATAGACTGCTTCCTTGCACTTGGGCGGGAAGCTCGGAAGGCTTGAGACGAATGTGGCGGGCAAGTTGTGAGCCTAACGCAATATTTGCCGTCTGTCGTGTCACAATCCTTTGTCTAAGCTGCTGATCGTGCTACTCGACGGTGTGATGTGTGATACGCTCGCCGCCAGGGGAATGCCGCACATGTGTGCTTCTTCCAGATGCCCAGCAGATGCCCGTGTTTGTTTGCGTCCGCAGCGGGAAGACTTCACATTGTGTTTCTTCGTGCATGTTGTTGCTGTTGTTGTTGTTGCTGTTGTCTTCACATTAAAAACCGTTCCGATCTCTCTCTACCCAGTACCTTCGAATGTCCGTACTGATCCAACACTCGACGCGGTCGATTCCCGTGGTCGCAGGCTAACTTACCCTTAAAAGGTACACTCAAATAAACTGGTCCCGAGGGGTCCGCAAGTCAATGGAAATCAACGACAGATATTCTGGAGTCCTCCACTCCCTCTGCGCGCAATGCGAGGTATAACAACTGAGACTAGGAGTCACCATCACGGGCCGGAGAGAAAGAGGTACACCCCCTTGGTTCAATCTTGGTACTTCACAATCCAAGCAGAGACAAGGCCATCTGGCACAGAAAAACAGAAAAAAAACAGAGAAAAAGAGAACACAATAAAAGGAAACAGTAAGGAAAGAGAAAATAAAATGAAAAAGAGCGAGGACAAAAAGGGACCAGGCCGAAAATAACAAGAAATAAGAAATAAGAGACATGTGCATCAAAACGGATATGACAACCGCATGTAAAGTGCAAAATTTTGAACGGTGGCCGCACATACAACCATCGTCGCTCCCGTTGCACGCCTGCTGTCCCTCTGTGGTGCACGCGTAGCTGCACCACAAACGAATTCACGCTGGTGTGTGTCGGGATCCGTGCACAATCAACATCCCAGTTAAGACTCCTGCAAGATGTTGAGTCGCACCGCGCGGGTCATTACCCCCCCATACCTAGTACATATGTAGTCCACATGATCACTTTAGAATAGTCTGTGGGGGATCAAATAAATTTTTGGTTTGGGTTAGGGGAAGTGTCACCAGAGAGTAATCGACACCCCGCAGCCACTCACTCGTCATCAAGACCTACGTAGAGTTGTCAGCGGTAGACTACGGGTGTAGTCTATAGCCTTGACTTCAGTAGAATATTGTATGACTACCGAGAGAAGAGTGGCGGGCGAGCGGGCGAGGACGAAGCGGGCTCAGTACATTGGGGTGCGAAGCAACTGGGCGACACTGTTATAAAACATCATGATTCGCAGAGCCATTCGCGTCGAAGGAGGAAAACGTAACGCAAGAGATTGAACAGCGAAGCGGGGACAAGCGCGGCTAAACTACTGCACGCACTCGGCCGCCGGAATGGCGCCCGATTGGGCGAAAACGTGAGTTAGAAAAGATACATACCTCGAGAAGACGGCTCGGAAAAACCAAACGCGGCAGCAGCAAACAGCAGTAGCAACAAATCTGCCGAAACCCCAAGTCGTACTTCGAACGCAAACCCGGGCGACTACGGGTGTTTATCCAGTCTTGCTGTACGCATATGTCCTTTGGAAACACGCCGCATCTTTCTCCGAACAAAAAAAAAACGGGTGTGCGGAAACAGGCTCAGGGCCGTGCCCGCTCGGGCAACATTCTGCTCCGTTCATCCGATCGAGTTTGTTGGCCACAGCAGTCGAGAGAATGAATGATCTTCTCGCCAATGCTGCGCTGCTTGGCGGCAGGTGACCGTAACGAGCGGATTTGCGATTTGGGTTTCAACTCTTCGCCGGCTGGCGCACCAAGGTAAACAACAGCGAGCGGTAGGTAGGGCTTGATGCGCGAACGAGTGGACAAGACCCCGGTGGCGAAACTGCACGTGGCCGGGAGCATGGCGTCCCGTTACCTTGGCGCACTTGACGTGGTCACCCGATTCCATTTGAATGTATCAAATCGTTATTTAATTAACGCCCCCAACAGCGGTGAGCTATGGACAGCAGTAGTACGGGCGGTCTGTATCTGACACGAACAGAGAGACGAGGAACACCAGAGGGCACACATAGCATATCCCTTGTGTTTGCATGGTGCGCTGATATCGCATATGCAAGTGGGTGTACCGCGCCAGAAGTAAGCCCATCGCGATCAACAGTATTGCGTGGCACTGCTTCAGGTCTACGGCTTATAAGAGCCTTACTACTATAGGATACATGATCGGCCCACCCCCCCCTCCGTCGCAGTCGTTTTTCTGGGGTTTTCGCTCTATCGGTATGTAGACTATGAGACTAAACTGCTGCTGTAGACTAGTCATCAAACGCTGCCCGGGGACGCACGCCGCTGTGTAAAAGTTCAGCATGCTACCTGTCACTACCCGCTACCTCGTGAAAGTGTAGAAGCATCTACGTGATCACCTGAAGTTTCAGCGGCGTTGATAATTCTGGTTGATCGATGAGGGTGGATGGAGGTCCGGTGTAATGTGTGTGTGTCTGTTCTCTTCTTCTACACCAATAATCTAGAAAAACGTGCGGGGGATTTGATTGGTCAAAGAACGCAAGAGGGATCAGGTCCGTGGAGCACAGACAGGATCCAAAACGTGACACAAACCGGCGGGTGGGGGCGCGCTCGTGTATATCTACTGTAGCACAGCAGGTTGCGTGCTGGTTGCCTACTGCTGCTGTTGTGGGGATGAAACCAAGAGAAGGAGCCTTCGGCGTGCGTGCATGATGGCCTCCAAGTCTCACTTTTTCTTCCGCGAAGGGTTTGTCTTTCCTTGGAATTCAGCAGCACGGCGGTGTACTGCGACGTACATCATCATCTTGGTAGAAGAACTGGTACACCTTGTGCGGTGCTGGATGAGTCAAAAGCGCAATATCTCCCCCATACGGTAGCATGTGTATGGCCAAGCCCTTTTAGTGTCTACAATGGTTTCTCTAGAGGTTGAACATTACCAGTAGTCTAGTGGTCTAGGAGGTATCGTCCATACAGCACCTTGCTAAAGCAAAAAAAGTACAAGTACCTGTGGTTGCCGTGATACAACGTCCCCTATACATGGAAAAGGTTCCGACAGATAGAGCGCCTTATCTTGGCGAGACAGAGAAATAAGGGGGGGGGGACGACCAAGCAAACTACGCTAGCAAGAATTGGACTATGCACTGACTTTTTGTCCATGTGTTGCCGAAGTAAGTATCAACAGACAGACAGCCGAATTGGTGACGCTTTCCGGTGTACCAAGGCATTGCGTACAAAATTTATACAAAATGTGTCACCACCAACGACGACAAAACGTTCCATGTGTATACAGTCCTAAATGTATTCAGTCTTCTACGTACGTTGGTCGACCGGCTTATAACGAAGGAGATAACAACGGTGTCTCGTCGCCAACACGTACGTGCGTTTAATGTGTTGAGCGAATCATGACAAAAACGAGTTCACAGCAAGCAGTCATTGAATTTTCAACAATAGACGATACCGCACTGGCTCCCGCGTCAAATCTCAGTTGGTGGTGGTGGTGGTGTCTACGACCGACTTCAGGACAGGCTTGAGCAAGCGATGGAGAAACCACCGCCGAGTCCTCTGTGTTGCTGCGGGTGTATACCTTGTACGTATCTATGCCCGACTTCCATCTGCCCTCCCTCTGGATCACCCGTTCCGAAACCTCTCCTCCAGCTGCCAGTACGGTGGCCGCTCCTATGCGTAACGAATTCAACGACACCCGCTTAGGGCCCATCCCCGCTCTGTCGGCAAGGTGGCGAATGGTCTAAGTCGCTCCCCTGTACTTCCACACCTACACCGATTCCCCGACTCTAAACGAAGCCAAAGGAAGGCGCGTGTTCCGGCAAGGAATGTCAAGAGACGTTAATTCCACCATCGCCGCGACGGCACCGCCGTCCGTCTCCAGCCGAGAACGCGTGCCAAAAGCTTACATCCCGCGTACGCACAAGCACAGCACCCGCCTGTTCTTGATCACTTTAATGTCCTCGAAAACGTGATAGATATACTTGTAGCAATGCCAAGTGGTTGGTGATGGATGTTCCCATGGAATGAGGTAGAGCGGAACACCGGGTGACACGTATGTGTGGTACGTAGAATGGATTCCAGGGATGTACAAGGTAACCCTGTTGCATACGGCGTCGCCCCCTCAACGGGGCTTTGTGTGTGTATGTGGATGCAACTAATCACAACAAGTTTTTCTCCTCCTCGCAAGCCGAGTTGCCGATACCCTATTCAACACACGTCTTGCGACAAGCTACCCCCAGTTCGGATTATCCTAACAATACGAAGCTCCGCACGAGTGATCGCGTCTCACGTCGTCGCTGGACACCACTGCTTTGCCTCAGAAAAGAGCGCCACGTCCCCCCAGCACAGAGTTTCCTGCATGAGAAACATTAAGGAAACAAGTCCGAAGTAAATACTACTGTAACTAGAAAATTTATATAAAAGTGTACTGCGGTACTGTAGACTACCTGGTACAAAGTGTTCTTTGCTGCCTGTATAGAATAGCCGAAAATATTCGGACCCCATGAATACCTTGTTTAGAAGCCGAATCAAACCAATATCAAGTACAAGACTAGTCAACGCTAACGAGGCAAATGGTTTTAATTCGGCTACTAAAAGTTGGCACAACGGATCCTTCAGCGTATAACGTAAGCATAAACAGACTCAAGATAAGCCCAGTATCCAGCAGCTATCTCTCTCCGCTCTCTGCAAAAACTTCAACATATCCCTTCGATTTGAGGTAATCTCAATCGAACGGGGTAGTGGGGGGGGGGGGGNNTGTTGCCATAATTGTGTCGCTGTTGTTGTTGTCTTCACAATAATAACCGTCCAGGTCGCTGCGACGTACCTTCTCACAACCGAACTGATTCAACTGAAGCAGATGTTTTCCGTAGTAAAAGGCCAATCAAAGAGGGCGCACATTTCTAGAAATCAAAGATGAGGATACTGGTCCCTATCGTGTTCTCGACGCCAATGAGGATGCGGGTCCCTGTCGGAGACAGAGGCCGGTACTCTTGCAGTATTCTCCCACTGCCAAGGGTGGCTATTTCCTTTCGTGAAATGCAACGAGGAGAGGAAGGTAAGAAAAAGAGTGACCAGAGGGTCGAGAGAGGAGAGCCGGAGGCTCCCCGTCCCTTCCCTCGGCAATCGGCCGTGGACTTCGGAAAGGACAAATGTCCTCGGTGTTTCACTTGCCACTTCTCCCGATGGCAAGTTACCCCGAGGAATCATATCTCCTGCACTTTGTATGTGCACAAATGGTTGGTTATTTATTCCGACAGGTGTCCTCTACAAAAAAAATGAAAGAACCCAGAAAACCTCCAAACGCGAGGGTAGCAGAAAAAAATACTATCCGGGAGACGAGCCATCCCGGAAAACGAAAGAACAGAAAAACAGGTCCTATCCCCACGATTCAAAAAAGAGCCCATCGCTCCTGCTGGTCACGCGATACCACGCAAGACAAACATCAAACAAAGTTGAGAAGTCGATTATCACCAGTCAATCAAGACAGAGAACAATTATTCATCAGAACCACCCCTCATCCCATCGTTGTACCCCTGTTAGACCGAGGTGGTTTCGCCGCCGGGGTTACATCGGCCAAGCCATTTCCCACACACACATGATTCTAGGGTCACTCCACCGGAACAACACAAAGAATACAATAAAAATGGCCTCAATAACAACCTAGGAGCACTGAGGGTTAGCGAAAAATAGTATTGTAGGAGATGTGCGGCTGGTATTCCTGCCACCCCTATGATCAGTTCGGCACATATCTCGCTGCATGTTCTGCCATCTCCGTCCTGTTCTTCTCAACTACAGTCTCGTCCTCTAGCTGGGTTTTTCGACGCTTCTTGCCCTGTATCTCTCCCTCCGACTACTCGGTGGTCAGTCTTCTGTACGGCTCTATTACCGTCTCGTTTTTCCGCGGGTAGTCTGGCCGTCTCTTCCTTACTATGATATTTGACCATAAACCTCTCCGCTGCCTGTAGCACCCCCTTGTCCCACGGGAGCCCCTTCTCCGCCTTCGCTGAGAGAGTCCAACAGGCACCAAGTATCCCGGACGACCTCTTGTTGTGGATCCGGCTGTGGTGGCACCAAACTCTCTGAAGTCGTCCGTCAAGCATTTCACCCCATTCTCTTCCGGGCAATCCTTCCCTGTGCCCCCTCACCCCCCAAACACACACGTTTTTGCTCAGCATATCACTCGCTTCGGGAATCGTCCGTCCGGTTGTCTAACCCAAAGACAACCGGGCGGGTGGCTCCCGAGGCGTCAATGCCCCAGCGAACAGTAGTCGCCGTATCCACACGGTAGTCTCCACGCTTTGGCATCCGATCATTTCAGGAGAGTTCGGGCGTTGGAGAACTGCCGATATTTTGCCGCTCAGGCGGCGGTACACGATAATCCATTGCAAGAGACAGTGATGCATCCGTACAGCAGAGCCTCCTCGACTCTGCGTACAGAAGCCAGACTTCTAGCCTCCACGGCCACGATGCTGTCTACCTGCCGAAGAACCCCCCCGGTCGTACTTCCGGAGATACGCCCACACTGATCTGTTCCGGTTGTTGATCTTCTGCCTGAGTTCACCATCTCATCTGACCCGGTCACCCAGGTGTCGGAACTCCGCTGTCTGGGCGTAGTCTACTTCTGTCCCACTGCTTCGACCCCCCGTGGTTCCTGAAGTTGTGGAGGAGGCACTTTCTGCGGCTTCTTCTCCGGCGTTCGCATCAGCAGAGTTTCTGTCTCTTCTCTGTTATTGTCAGTCCAAATTCCCCACTTCCACGATAACGGTCATCATCGTCACCGGTCCTTCGGCCGATCTGGATACGAAGCCAATGGTCGACGAACGACGTACCCCAACCGCCCTCAGTAGTTGTTCCAACGATGCCGTTGCCCTCGTCCTCGTCCCAGTCTTCTTCCTCAAGGTAAACCAGATTCCCGAGGATGACGTAATCTTCGCTTCATCGTACTAGCATGCAGAATTGTTATTTTTTTGTTGAACAGCAAGTCGTCGAAAGATGGGAAAGACACCCGAGGTAAACGCCTTTGGAAAGGAAACAAACCCAGTCCGTCCCACTCGGATCGCAGACGGACAAGAACGACGGTTCGGACATCAATTACTAACGTGAAGGAGCTGTGTGTAGTATCCTTGCACCTCCTGGTCCGCCCGTCGACCTATCTCCTTGCGCAGACAAAGCAGTTTCGCTAACGAAATAACGGAAGAACGACTCATGGTACATAGGCTTTTGGTCAAACCGTTTCTTTGTCTTCTTGCAAACACCTCGGCAAATATCCAAGTTAGACAGCTCAGTATGACGACTCTGATTGATGCTAAGGAAAGTCTAACGTCGATAAAGTTGGTAGCTCTTCCGAGCGAGCGAGAGCCCCCGCATGGATGTCATTGCCCCTTCCCGTCCGTGCGGAGTGCTAAGCACTCTGCCCACAACGAACAATAGACTATAGCTCATGATGCGTAATCTCTAGCGAGGGAAAGTTCAGCAGCCCGCGAATATATACATGTGTTCGAGGTACTCCTCCAACCGAAGGGATGTGTTGAAGTCTTCACAGCAGTGAGTGGTGAATAAAAACGTTCTGTTCCACCACGTATTGGACAACTATCCACATGGACTACATCACTACTGACAGGAGGGTACTTTGAAGGAGCGAGTGACTTTTTTGGAGCACATTTTGTCCCGACTCTCCTTCGCTCGTTTTAGCTGGCAAAGAATAAGGCATGGCTGTCTTCCGCTAACTCCTCGGCAACGGGAGTGCCGAGGTACGCGGGGAGCAACGTAGTGTAGTGTGGGTGCTTGACAGGAGGGGTAGAAGGCTAATGGCGGGACGATATCGCAGGCTACGATACCGAAGTTGCGCCGAGTCGATCTGTCCTTGGGTGTGCGCTACTGCTGTAACAGGGGCACACGCGGAAAAGCGCCTCGTCCACCGGCGAATGCCACCGGGCAACCTAGAGCCTGGACGTCGAGACCACTCTCTCTCCAGTGTCTGTTGTAGAGGTATACATCTTGAAAACCTCATTTTTGACCCGATTGCGACGCCCTCTTTGCTCTGTGCCTGCCTGTGAAATCCCTACCCAATCTGGAACTGTCCGCTTCATCCAATCAAAGCAGGCGTGTGTTACAGGCGTCTGCAGCAGTCGACAAGAGTATTTTTCTGTGCGTCCCAAGGCCTTGACGCCTTAACACCTTGGCTGCGTATAAGGAAAGGAATACACCCGCGAGATGCTCCCTCCGCCCAACTCATCTCAGACTTGGCCACTGTGTTCATTTTCAAGTCTTGCAAACAGCGATCTCCGTCGGCCGTCGGCACGTCGGGCAAGGCAATGCACAAAAAAAACATGACAGTCCCGCGAAACCGAAACACCAAAACACGAACAATACTGGAAAGTCAGGACGTGGAAGAAGGCGGAGTGGATAGTTAGAAAGTGCCCAATGGGGTTGGAGTGCTCTGTTCGCACAGAGATGCCTTTTCTCCACACCAGAGACCGCCTCGTGAATCCCTCTCTCACATGAACGGGTCATACGAGTGTGAAGCATGGGCCCGACAATGAGACCTGCTTCGCATAGGATCGCTGCTCATCTCCCTGCGGAAAGGAGCCTCGAGGAAGTAATCCTTGCGAGGAAAATAACCGCCTCGGCAGAGCGGCAGTTCGCCAACAGCAGGTATGAGCGCTACACGTCAGCCGCCGGTGAACTCGGCCCTCAGCGTGGTATGCTGGCATCCCCATCGTCCCCGGCGAGCTTCCTGTCCCACCTCCCTTCCGAGGCGTACACCAGAGAAGTTTCGAGCAGGGTGGGGAGGCACCGGCGGGGCAAAAGCCTGAGACGGGCGACTCCTGGGCGGGCAGCCCATCGTGGGAGTACAGGGGGCGAGGGCTTTGGCCTATCCCAACAGCATTTACGACCTCTGACCGGCGTGTCGCCGCCGTCGACGGCACAGTCTGCTTTCAGACCGACGGACTTTGCCTTCGAGAGTCTGTGCCCGACGGTGAGGCGCTCGATGGTAACCTGACAATACGGGAATCAAACTTTTCTGCTCTGCGCCTGTTGTGTGTGCAACTTGTGCCTCCACCAAGTCTCGTGGTTAGACCATGCCATTGATTTGCAGACAGTGACCGAGTACTTACACACCGTCCGCCAGTAAAACAAAGCGAATGATGAACACAACGCTTTCTAAAAATTTCGTTTGGTTGAGAAACTCGTAGCCAGGCTTTTTATGTTTGGGACTAGCAAGTGGTAGTTGATGTTAAGTAGAATAGTTGGTAATGCGTTCGATATCATCCTACTGCTGTAGATAGACTACGCTGTCCAAATTCGCAGGCTGCATAAGGTCAAAATACCGACTTTCACAAACATGTAGGGGTAGGGTCGGAACGCGGCCGCGCCGGAAGGTTGGCAGCTGGAAATGTACCCCATCCACTTCCACGCGCGGTTTTCATTTTACCGCAGACCAGCAGCCGGAGCCCTAAACGCGGGGATGGGGTGACTGCGTGGGGATTTAACGGAAACGACGAAGCCAACAACAGCGACAGCGACCTTGAGACCAACGATCGCGTCATTTTTCTCACCGACAAATGCAACGCGCTAGCGAGGAGGCTGCAGCAAGTCGAGGCGCAGCTGTTGAGGGAACGCCCTGACGGGAGGGAACTCCTGAAGAAAGAAGCAGCTTCATCGTTCTCACCGTCAGTCGAATCCTTCTGCAATAAAGACAACCGCTGTAGCAGTCCGCAGCCTCCTGGTTCACGCGCATCTACGGCAGATCCCCGCTTCTCTCCGAGAAACTCCCGTGGGTCTTCTCGCGCATCGTCGCAAGCTTCATCCGCGGCGGCCTTCGGAGGCCATGGTGGTCGCAGCGGGAGAAAAAACGACATTTCTGAGGGAGATCTCGAAAAAAGGGCCGGAGCGTACCCGACACCGAGGACGGCTGAGAGCAGCATCGACCACAACATTAAGACCCACACTTCAGCAGCTCCACTAGGAAGAGGAAAGCTGAACGCGCATTATCAGCACAACAATGATCCGCACGTCTCCCCCAGACAAGGTCGGGCGATAATGGTGCCCCCGGACGTTGTAAAAGCAATAAAGGAAGGAGACAAGCCACGAAGGGACAGTGGGGTAAAGATGGACGCTGATGCCCTTCATTGCCAAAAAGTAGAGAAGGAGATCGCCGAACGCTTTGAGGTCGTGGCCGGCGGTATCGAAAAGCTCGAGGACGTGTTCAGTGGCGCGGCGCAGATACTGGAGCACCGGGTCCGCGCGATAACGACCATCAGCAGGTGCTCGAACGCGGCTTGGGGGTGGACCAACAAAGTACTCTCTTCAGTATTCTCCATTGTCCATACCCATTGCATTCCAACTATACTGCGACATTGGCAAGGCTTACTGCTATCCCAGGTGCTTTTTGTGGAGCTAGCACGAGCGCTCCACCGACGTGCACGACGCGTACAGAGCTCAAATGGTGACGGCATGGGGCTTCTCCCGTATTGTGTGCATACCATGCGTCGTTCTGCAATGCAAGGAGCACCACGTCGAGCGCCTTCCAAGGCAGAAGCTACATAAATGCACAGGTCTGTCGAAGCCCTCTTGCCTGAAGTTCTCCTTACTGCTCCCAGGCTCCCTCTTTGATGTGCATCGGTTACGTATGGTCCAAGCCCTTTCTCGTCCAATCCTCCTTGTCGCGTCGTGCTCCAGCGTCATCCGCATGTTTCTGCAGAGGTGCCGATATCTCCGAGGCAAGGAAGCTCTCAGGGCTTGGCGGACCAACAACAGCTTGCGCGTGCTTCAATGCATGCGTCGTGAAGTTTTTCGACAGAAGAAGATCGAGGCTGGTCTGGACAGGGTGATTATAGCACAATATATAGCACATCACTTTTTTCACATGAAAAAGGAGGAAACGGGAACGGGGAGGGGGAGGTACATCAATGCATCGTCAATCGAAGCCATGTTGCTGTACTTGGTGACGAATCCGTTCGACAATAACTTCCAAAATTTCAAACATGTTCTCACAAGCTTGCCCAGGAGCTTGGATGGAGATTTGTGGCGTGTCTGTAGCCCGACAAGGTTCAGGGTTTGCAAAGCTCATTGTTTTTTACTCCCGGGGCTAGCCCCGTCTTTCGGTGTGTAGCGCTTCGGGGAAATCGTGATTTTCAACCGCTGATTCTAGATAGTCAGTTGTCGCTGTCGATGCTCACAATACCCCGATAAAGTGCGTTCTTTTGCCTAGCTATGTCTGACGTATACTCATTGGTGAGCGGGTGAGCGCGTCGACGCTGTTGAAAGAACTAAGCGCACCGACACTCACAGCCTATTTAACAGACTTCCGGGTACTCGGCCTCGCCCACACCGTACGTCCCGCCCCCTCTCCTACCCACTCCTTCCCGGTACACCCATCACCTCATGTCGCTTGATCCCTGCCAGCTGCGCAATCGGCGTCACCTGTGGTTGATATCGAAAATTTTCCGAATGTGGTCTACGGTCATCGGAGCCAACGAGCAGCGCAACTACCGGCTCAAAATGTTTGAGGAGAGAGTAAAACGCCGTCAGGTACACGAATACAACAGTGTCAACAGTGTCGCTTCAGGACTTGCTCTCTTGGAGGGTGACCTAGATTAAAGTCTGCGTGTCGGAACGACTATGTGGACGATTAGGTTTTTGGGCTGCTGGCTGGGCAAGTTGATGAGCTTTCCATCTTTTTGCTTTCCCATAGCGAACGATTTGAATGCATGTGCGATGGGAGGATAACGTGAGGATTGGGATGAGTATCTCAAAGCGCGGAGGTGTCGATGAAAGCGGGAAATTCTTCGCGGACAGTAATGCGCATTTGATGGCTTTGTCGACAGTCCCTCTTGCCTTTCGCCAGCGCTCGCCAAGCCCGTTGTCCTTTCCCCCCCCCGCACCTCACATGACACACCCCTTCAAGCTTGAAAATGTATCAAGGTTCGTTCATGCGTGCTTCTGCTGCTGCATAATGATGATTCCGTCGTTGCCCTTGCTCTCGCACCCATGCACAACGAACCGGTGTTCGCGTCGATGCTCGCCGCTGGTGTCAATCAACACTAGCTCTTCGATCTCACGAGAAATGTGTTCCGTGAGCTCAAAGACCAAACAATTGGCCCGTCTAGTTCCAGGTGGGGGTCACGCGAACGCCAGGAGACCAAAAAATGGCCAAACGGTTTGCACACAAACAATACTGTCCCATCTTCAAGGAATGTGTTTTTTTGTTTTGAGGATACATCTCAGAAGCTAGACCCAACCAAGTTCGCGGTGTTAAATACTGTAGTACTCAAAACTTCCGCCATCGTCGTCGCAGGCGTGATTGAGCGGCCTTGCTATTCTCTTGAAACAAACTACTCTACTGTGAAGAAGATCGCTTGAAACAGACACATGCGGTACCACGAGGACTCTATCGTGCCCTGCCCTCTAAAGCAATAACTCTACAGGTCAGGTTGATATCTTCTCAAGATACGTGAACCGTGTTTTGCAGAGCGTGTGTCTTCCGAAGATGTTCGGGTAAGCACATTGTTCCAACAGCACATCTAGACAAGAAAAAAGAAATTCGTTTTTTTGCGTTGCCACCCCACATGCGAGAGTGGGCGCAATTTTCTCAACGGTCGTCCGGGTGACTTGATGGATGTCTCCGTTCGACCAGAAACAGACGTGCAAAATGCACAGAAACACAAGCACCACATGTCCGTGCACAACCTATGCTTGTACTAATAAAAAAAACGGAACGTAGGGAGTTGGCCAGGCGGGGGCTTCGTCGTCAGCAAGAAGCAAGGGAAAGGGTTGTCAAGAGGGCGGTGGCCAGGGGAGAGCTGGGCCTGTATGTCACGGATGCTATGGTTCGGCAGGAGATGTCAAGACAAGCCGTCGAACTCATGCGTGGAAAGGTAGGGACAGAACCTAAACTACTTGTTCGAGTACCGCTCCTGCTCTGCTCGGCCCCGCTGCATTTTGTAACCCGGGGCGATAGAATACTACGAGCACATCTAGGCTTTGTAGAAGTTTCAAGTATGGACCGCCTTTCCTGAACAGCTTCTGTGGGGGGTTACTCCCACGACGCTTATACAGCGGTTGTTCTTCTGCCGCTACCTCACGGAAGGAAAACGCTACAGAAAGGCGGCACGTTCGCAATATTTTAGGAAAGCTGCTACAGGGGTGGTGGTGTTGCCGTGAGCATGTTCCCGTTGGAACCTTGACCAAAGTATTCCCCAAACATCGCAGGGACGCGGCCCTGTGGTATTGCCTGTAGGCCCCCGCAGGATGCGAGCAACCGCGCGAGTAAATATTCGCGGGACCGAAGGCCGAATGAAATCCAACCGGTATAGACGAAGGCATCGGAATTACGTACCAAAGAAGCGATCCTCGATTCCGCACCCCCCGTGCGCTCCCGCCCCCACGCCCGTACGTGTCTATCGGCTGGGCGGCCTCTCTTCTTCTGTATCTCTATGCCTACCAAACTACTCAAAAAGTGTTCAGAGTCTCGAGGCAGCTTTTTGACAATCTCACCCTGTGCCCATCCCATTCCCCCCCATCATCGGCGTTGTACCTTAACAGGTGGGAGTAAACTTGTGTCGATCGGTGTTCACACGCCTGGGGCAGGCCGTAGTTCTGCGCAAGAAGAGAGAAGTTACGGCGAGAGCGCACTTCAAACGCTGGGCTACAAGGCAAGCCGACTTAAGAATTCTGTGCGCGGGCCAAAATCGCTTCTTCTTGAACGAAGAGCTTGGATCGTTTAGCTGTTCTTTGCATCTGCTGCATCTAAGACTCAACGATTTTCGAGCGTGATGACGACCACTCAACGCACACAAGGTACAAACCAATAGTTCGAGACAACCTTAATTGATCGAGTCGTAGCATGTTGCTTAAAAATCATTTTTTCACCTACCCTTTCCTCCCCTTCCGCTCTCCGTTCCTACGCGACTCGAAGACCTTGCGCTCGAAACGTGCCATCTCTATACTCTGCTCCCGCATGACTGGTAGCACAATATGTGCTGAACTTCTTCCCGCAAGGCTGTACTTCGGAGAGATCGACCTCTTCATGTCACTCGTTGGCCACAGCATTTCACGGTGCTTCGCTCTTGACCCAATTTCTCCCCTCTTGTTCTGCTGTTCCCTCGCCATCCACACACCTTGGCGCATGGCGTGATTCCCTCTACTTGCCTCTTCCCTTGTTGCCTTTGTCCTACAGGCGGGTAATCAAAGGCTGGAGAAAATGGGCGGCGCTCAAGGCCGAGGGCATGGACAGGAAACTCATGACCGGTTATAGAGGCGGGTGAGAGACAAGCACGGAAAAGGTGCACGCAGCTGCGGTGGATGCTGCTATTGCTGCCCAAGCCGGGGTACTGTCTTAACCCCTCTCCTCCTCCCCACCATCCTTGTTGTCTCGTGCACTTCGTAAACCCGAGAGTTTGGTTTCGCCTGCCGTACATTATTGTTTTCGTTCTCGAACAAATGTTGCAGATATTTTCACCAAAATTTGAGGCTGCTATGACTGTATATGGCTTGGTTTCAATGAAGCTTGTGCCTACATCACCAGGCTGTCAGGGTTTGTTGCTCTTGTCCCCTCCCGCTTGCTCGCTCTATCGCATAAGCCGAAACAATGAACAGTATGTCGAGCTTCTTCCAGAAAGGTCGACTGGCATGGAGTAACTAAATGTGTGGACCATCCGTGCGTGCTTATTACTGTCGAACGACACCCGCTGATAACGTGGGAACTACAAAACGACGACGACAACAACGACGGTGACAACAACGACAACCCACAACATCAACAGTGAGAGACTTCGGTGCAACACCCACAAGGTAGCCGCCTTCACCCGGCGGCGGGAGATGGTCGGGGTGTTCCTAGCATGGAGCAGGAAGAGCGCTCAACTTGCCATGTACGTTTTTCCTAGGGTCTGGCTCCACTGCTACGCTCCTTTTTCCCGCCAAGACTCGGTGATATTGGCCTGTGCCCCTCCAGAAAACTTCCACAGCACGCTGCCTTGAGTCTGCTGCCGATTGTGGCATCGTAACGCATGCAGCAGGACATGGCTCCGTGCGCTGCCAACCTGGCGTGAAACGTGTGCGTCACACGCTGAATTCATGCACTCTTTGGGGAGACATTGTCGACCCAACCCATTGTCACGCTGCTCTTTTTCGAACGTACCAACGCACTAACTCCCTTGTCGGCCGTGTAATCCTTCGGGATTTCCAGTATACCCTTGTCCCCAAGCACGAATTACCCGGGGGCGTTCTCGAGAAGTGTGTGGTGGGGGTAATATGATATGACGTTATGTGGAGGACACCTGTCGGAATAAATAACCAGCCATATGTGCTCATACAAGGTGTAGGAGGACATGATTCCTCGGGGTAACTCGCCATCGGGAGAAGTGGCAAGTAAAACATCGAGGAGATTCGTCTCTTCCGAAGTCCATGCCCGATTGTCGAGGGAAGAGACGGGGAGCATCAGGCTCTCCTCTCTCGATCCTCGGGTCACTCTTTTTCCTGCCTTCCACTCCTTATTACATCACAAGAAAGGAAATAGCCACCCTTGGCAGTGGGAGAATACTGCAAGAGTACCGGCCTCTGTCTCCGACAGGGACCCGTATCCTTAGTTCGCATGAATTCCTTACGTTTATTTCTCTCGTCTCCTCTCATGAGCGAGAAGAGTTGCACAATGTCTTGTCAACAACAACAATAACAACGTGTGCGGGTATCCGGGTGTTCACCTCTTGTGCGTGGCCCTGTCGAAAATGAAGAGCGACTCGCATGCAGCGGAAGAAGCTGACACAAGTGGTGATGGGGGCGTTTAATACGTGGAAGGCCGAGACCCAAAAGAGCAAGCAAGTTAAAAAGGTGAAGATCAAGATCTATCGTGAAGATCAAAAGTAAAACGCGGGCCCATGCATGGTACCTTGTTCACAACTCGGTAGGTGCGTGCGCCCAATTTTTTCTAGAAAGCGTGTCAACAAAACACATATGTCACGTAAATTGACCAACGGCAAATGGTGTGGAAGGTTTGGTTATTTAGAGGACGTACTAGAACCCAACGCCTGTCTAGCGCGTGTGTGACATGTCCTGCGCTTGTGTCAAACACGTATGTACACCATACTCACTGAACCCACGATTCATACCAACATTATTTCATGAATACTTTTGTTTTGTGGTAGTTTTGGGGTCGAATCTTGATTGTGCGATGACAAGCGCCTTTCGAGCCAAACCTCATGTGGCACCTACCTTCATCTAGTTTCCTCGGTCCCGGGCAGGCGGCGGTACCCCTTTACTTTTGTTCATTCGCCGCGTGGTCAACTCTTCTTTACTATCGTTCCCACCAAAACATGCAACATGGGTTCTGCGAGCGTCCTATTTTTCTGCTCCTGTTTGGGTGCTCGTTTGTTGGTTCACTCACCAGATCGCGGTCGGGATGTGGGCCGACTTCTCTCTCAAGGACCTCGGAGAGCCCTTCCGCATGTGGTACATCTACGCTGACTACTCCAAGAAGCAGACCAAGGAGCACGAGCGGCTGCTCAAGCTCCACCGGCGATATAAGAACAGGAGAAAGACCCACATCATCCTCAAAGCATGGAAGCACCTCGTGAGTTTAAATTCCTCAAGGACAAGGTTACATAGCACTTCGCACCAGCAGCTAAAGGAAGGAGTTCACTCCTTGAAGAACGTGATATTTTTTCTCCGTGCTCGATACTGCAAAACATCTGATCCAGCAAACGGCTGGTTGAGGCAGAGCGAAAACAGCTAACTATTGGTCAATCGTGCAAGCTCCTCGTGATATCTCACTCTCCATGTTTGTCGTTTTGCTTTTAAGATCACAGACTACGCTGTAGTTGCCTGGCCATTGAGGCCTGTGTGCGTCGCTCTACCAGCCTGTGTGTGATGTACGTGTCTTCGATAACTCGGCGAGAGAGGGACGAACGGGGGCGAACAGGCAAAGGCTACTCAAAATGCTACAAGCCTGCTTTTGCTTGATTCCCTTGCTCCCGGCTGCAGGTTGTAGGAAAAGGGTTTAAGGTATAAGAGGAGTGGGGAACGGAGCCCAACACCTCCGAAGACATGCCTCCTATTACAGTGAGTGCCCGGGAATAACGACACATGATCTCTTGGCAAAAAAGTTGAATACGACGGCATGAAAAGCGTGTTTGTCTCTTTTTCTCAGGCCGTCTACGGACGGATAGAGGGTATGTACACCAGGTCTCAGCTGATGTCGTCGCTGGCAGAGCAGAAAGATCACACCCTGCGGCTCGTAGGGAAGGTGGACGAGTTAGCGGGTGGCCTCGGAGACATGGAGGTATGTGTGGAAGGATGGGCTGCACAATATTGGGAATGCCATATTGAGAATGCCATGGACGTATGTCCCAGTGAAAAAACAGCTGCGGATTATTGTTGGGTATGCTATGGACGTATGATCCGATAACCAAACAGCCGTGGGGCTCGTTCGATGATTCTCGCTACATCGTTCGTTCAATTCAATTGGTATGCTGAGGACTATTCTGGTGCTTGCGAACCGCCGAGAACCGGCGCGAGATCGTTTCGGCTATTTTGCGTATGGTCGGGTGCGTCCCGAATTTTGTCCGGGTTTCACTTCTTTGAGGCCACCTTCTCGAGGGGCAAGGGCAACCAACGGACAACGGAGTGTCTGCCGGTCGGTTATGCAGGAAACGGCGGAGGTTGCTCGGGTAGGCAGGGACAGGGGTGAACGAGGTTGCTGCCCTCACTTCCTGCGGACCCTTGCCCTCACATTGTCTTCCCACACTAGTCACCAAAACCGACGCATGCCCCCCTCTCCGCCCCTTGCCGCTAAAAAAAACAGGAGCTAGCCATGGAATACCGCTCCCAGATGATCATCCGCCAGAGGGAAACTACTGAGCGCGAGAACGGCATGGACCGCCAGACGATGGCCCTGCACCACGCCGAGCAGGAGGTCGTGCGGTTGCAGAGTCTTCTCGCCTCCGCGGCCGAGGCTGCGCCCCACATCTGCAAGGCGATCCACAAAGTCGCGCCGGGGTTCGACTTCAAGGAACGGGGTTTGCAGGTGAGCCGTGTCTCCAGAGCTGCGTGCGCTCTTTTTGGTAGCGTTAACCGCGTCTGTGTACCGGCTGACAGATGAAAATACGCCTGGTTGAGCGGGTAAACGTGCGTGCGTACTTAGTATCGAGGCGCAAAGCTGACGGACCAAGGTCAAACAGTCGTGGGCGTCGACTCAATTCCAGACAGCAAATATTTCCTTTCTTGAAGGTGTCTCTGTTGTGTTAGTTAGGCTTGCCTGAAGGCTCGAGCAAAGCCAAAGTGCGGGCGGATGGATGCAACTTCCATGCCATTGGCGGTGCCCCCCTGGTGTGTGTAATACCTTAAGAAACACCAAGAAGAGCAAACTTCCCCAATACAGGGCAACACTGTTTGTTGAAGAAAGAAAGAACTGGTGTTCAGACACTGCTCCGTACAGAAAGTGTCATTGCTGACATCCCCCCGGTCGCGTGCGGGCTTTTCTCGGGCCACACATCGGAAAACCTCTGGTTCTGCCTGTCGATTGAGCTCCATTTTTCCTTGTCCCGACGCACGAAGCTTTCTGCACAAACACGTTAGTGCCATGCAGTTTTGTGCAAGTTTGACGACGCTGCCGCATGCCTGTCCCAGCCGTTCACGGATGCTCGCAAGGAGGCTTTGGAGGTGGAGACGGAACAGCGGGTCCAGGAGTTGGTCGCCCAAAGAATGGCGTTGCAGGTGGGAGGAGGGGATCAGGAGGGAGGGGGGCAATGCTGTTGTTGGTTGTCACTTCTGCTTGGCAGCGTCACTGGATAGTTGATAGCCCATACTTTGTGGGAGATAACAAGGACGACTCGTGTTCCTTGGAAAGACTCCCGTCCAAGATTTCGCCTCGTAGGAAGGATCGGAGGAGGTTAAAGGAGGTCTACCCTGTAGCGGTAGCGCAGCACCACACGCGATAGATGCGATATGATATACTTGTAGGGCAAGCTTTGTGTTTACAAGTATAGGAGTCATGTGTGCGTTTTGCGGATACAGAGTTATGAAGTGTGTACAAGTGAAAATTAGGAGCCAATTCAAGAACATGCGAACGGGACGGGACGGGGGGGTCAGCTGTCCCTACCGGTCCAAAGAGGTATGTTCTGTATCGTCGTCCTGGAGAGTAGCTTTCTGTCGACCTTTCTGCAGGGCGAGTTTCGCTGCGAGATAAAAAAATTGGAACAGGTACCAGTATTGTCACTCCTTCTCATTCCCATGACCTGATGCACAATCTCTCCCGCCCACCGCCCGAAAGCAGGCGGCCGCTGCGAATGGTCGTGAGCACGCCAGTGGCCGACTCGCTGGAGCACCTAACTCGGCAAGAGGCATGGATTCATCGTAAGATGACTTCGCTGTCGGCGATTGCCCGCAATGCATACGGGCCTTTCCCGTAGAAACCACAAATCAGGCCGGTCCTTGTTTGCTCGTATCGAGCAGGACTAGGTGTGCCGCAGGATTTCGCATCGTTCTTCCTTGAGGCTCGGCACGTTTATGAGTTTCTCTACTCGCAGCCCAACGTTCTAGCGTAGTCCCGATTTTTCAAGTCAGAGGATCGAAACTCCACATGACGGCAGCCTACAATACAATTTTTTTCTTGAGCGTCGAACTTTCATTCTTTCAGCGGGGCTGCGGTCGGCCATTAGGGAAAGAAAATGACTACTATGGTAGGCGGGTGAGAGGGGGATAGGAGGAGATGAGGCAGGGCAGGACCAAAGTTGTTTAGATTCACACAATATTAAATTCTTGCAGAATAGGTGATAGGTTGTTTAGGTTCACACAATCTTTAATTCTCCCAGAAAAGGTAATATGCAAATGTTGCGATACTTCTGTCAGGTACCGTACCCCCGATCAAGTAGCCTCCCGCTCGTCCCGAAATACCCCAACTAAACTCCATCGCCCACCCTCTCGACCTGTCGTCGACGTCGCCTCTCCTTCCCCCTCCGCGAAGGAACGCCAGCGCGAACTCCTCCGAAGGCAATGTCCGAAAAGAACGAGCAGCGGCAGCACCCGTCGTCATCACGGCTGACGCTAAGACGCAGGCGTGGTTACCGGCGGACCCGGAGGCGGCCGCGCGGGCGGCGGTCGCCGCCGCGGCGCTGGCGCAGGCGAGTGGCACGCACCTAAGCGTAGTCTGTGTACGCAGCGTAGTCTGTGTACGCATGTGTAACGTATGGAGGGGCGAGAACCATGCCAATTCGACGATGTGGTACTGGGATGTGAGCCTCCGGGGAATATCCAACAACAATGCAAAACGAAAGCCATGACCCTAAAAGGGGTGAAGGCCAAAAACTCTGTCTGTCGTTCTTGATCCTGTCGGCTTTCGCTACGAGGTTTGTTGGCGGACTCCTCTCTCTCTCAATCTCACACACAGACAGACACACACACACATGTAAGACTATTTGCTCTCTCTACTCCATGCTTCTCTCCTCCATTGCTGTTTTGTCTATCCCTTGTCCTCCTGTTCCCTTTCCGCCTTCTTCGTCGCTACCAAACGAAACTTCTCCTTGCCATCATCATCGTCTTTGTCTGCACTACTACTGAGATCCCAACCTTTTGGCCGTGATGGAAATTGGTCGATAATGGCAACGAGGAGAATACGTTTGGTAGCGACGAAGAAGGCGGTAAGGGAACAGGAGGACATGGATAGACAAAACAGCAATGGAAGAGGGGAGCATGGAGTGGAAGAGAGCAAAAGTTTCGAGCCATATGACCTTCCCCATAACAAACGACGCAGGGCTAGAGAAGAACTACCGAAAAATAGCTGCAAGAATGACGATATGAGGGTGATGATGGTGAAGCAAGGAGAATGATGGTGAAAGCACTCCAAAACGAACTCGAGTGCAAGGTAGCAGCTTCGGTAGACACGTGCATTTTTCTGCTGTTGCTACCGTTTCTGTCTTCAATCCCGAGAACAGCTTAGCCTTCCCTGTGCCGCCCCCTCACGGGGTCCCACTTCATGGCATTCACAAGTTGTTTGTGTTTTCAACCTCACCGAGACTGGCGTCTTTTCATTGGTCAGTCGGTTGGCGCGCGCGGTCGATGCTAATGAGCAAGACGCATGTTTCACTCTCTATTCGCTATTTTTCACTCCCTTCCACTCTTTCTTTCACTCTCTCCTTCTCACTGCATTTCACTTTCTACGTTACGACGGGATGGGGTGTGAACCTGTTGGTATTGTTGTACCCCGCAGATGCCAGATAAATACAACCGAGTTAACTGGAAGCAGCACTAGCCGCACGTACCGAATGCATGTGCACGGTCTGGCACCAAAGACATGCCCCAGCGGCAAATCGCACGCGTGGCGGCGCCCTTGGGTGCCGGCGACCTATAGACTATACCATCCTTCAAAACAGCATTCATGTGACTGTTTTTGTTGTTTGATGCCGCACGATCCGCTGCGTTTTAATCGAACAACAACAGGGAATCGAACCGCCAATCCTACCGAAGGAATTAGCGAGGCTTGACCGCGTGGAGTGGGTGCTGCGGCGCACGAGCGCAGCCGAAGTGGGGACGCGATTGAAGGCACAGAGAGAAGAAGGCGAGAGGATTGAGCGCGGTCATGGCGGGCCTGGGAGAGGAGGGCATGGCAGGAAGGGGTACAGGGGGGTAGGGGGTTCGAGTGGTGGTGATGGTTCGGGTGGGATCAACATTCAGATTTGTGGCGATGTAAATGGCGGTGGTAGCACTAATAGCGGGTCGTTGACCGGGGGGGTAGGAGATGAGGCAGATGATGGCGGGAAGGCGATATCTGGGACTTATGCGATTGGCGGCGGCGGCGCCCCTGCCACCGTGTCTTCCGATGTTTCGTTTCCGTCCCCAACAAGCGAAGCGGTCGCCGACGTCGCCACAGCGACTGTAGCGCCACCAGACCCCGACGGCTTGAGCACTGGTCGCAGCGAAGGACGGGCGGCCGCTGCTCCGCTGACGGGCGCCGCGGTGGAGGACGACGAAGAGGACGACGGGGAGGAGGACGACGTCGCCGACCGTCTGGCTGGCATCTTCGAGTTCCTCCGGTCGGGAAACTCCCTGCTCCTCCCGCCCGACCTGCGGATCGACTGGGAGTCTCGGCCTGACCTAGGGCTGGGACTTCTCGCCGGCGACGACCACAAGGACGACGTGGTGCGCCGCTTTCATCCCGCTCCGTCGGCGTCTTGGTCACAGCCTGCAGAGGCCGATGGGGCAAGGAGTAGCAGCAGTCCGCGACAACATCGCGGCGCCGAAAGCGATAGTTCAAAATGTGGCGGCAGCGGCGGTTCATCCTACAATCTTGCCGGCGGCGGCACCGGGAAGGGCGCCTCGACGTGGGCAAGAGGCCTCTGCCGCGAGACCAGCATCGGCAGCGGAGAGCCGATGACGTACCACGATCTCCGCATGGCCCTCACGGCGTCGGCCCCAAAGGGACGGCTGTCGGAAACGACCAACGACATGCTGGAGAGGCGCCTCGCGGAACGGAGGAGCAGGGCGGATGAGATGGCCGCCGCGATTTGGGGCAACCACCGCCCCCAGTTTGTAGAGAACTTGTACAGAAGCCAATCGTAGCATACAGTTTACGTCTACCTACCAAAGTGTGAGCAACTACAGTGGTAGTCTTGGGGAGGGGATCCCTCTCTGGAACGGAGGCCCCAACCCCCAAGCAAGTGCGTGCTCTCTGGGCAAGTTGTTCGCTCGCCTAGTGTGGTCCAGACCCGCGCTGGCGACCTGCTTGTGTCGTAGCAACTACGAGTTGTTGTGGTTCATTCCACTTGGTTCGCCACGTGTGAGACTTGATAAAAATCTGTCATGCATGTATATGTCGTCCCGGCTCCCTGTTCGATGTGTGAAAAATATGTTTCTCGTGTCTCATGGCAAAGAATCAACAATATCGATTAAACTCGTTCGAACTTTGACGGACCTTGCCATCGGGCCAAGTCTCTGCTGCGACGTACCAGACAGGCGTTGAAAGAATGCTTCGTGACAGTCGAAAGTGGGCTCTCAGACAGCAGCAGCAGCAGCAGCAGCAGCAGCAGAAGCAGAAGCAGCAGCAGAAGCAGCAGCAGAAGCAGCAGGCAACAACAGAGAAGAGAGCTGCGTGTTCTTGTCGTGCGTACAGGCATTTGTTATTAACGACCGCGTGAGAGAAGCGCGGTGGGCGGCCGTTTAATGTTGAATGCATGCTTCCGCGTGGGCGTGGGCGTGTGCGCAACCCATCTCTCAGGAGCAGAAAAATGAAAACGAAGGACGTTTCTTTTCGTGCATCCGTCATGCCCACGGTGTGGTGCTTTCTCCGGAAAGCACCGTGAGCAAGGCGCACGAAAGACTCGGAAAAAATAGGTTTCGTTCACACGATGCCGAGAAGGAGAGAGAGTGCGCCAAGTGCAAAACCGTTCACCACCCTTCGTTAAAACCGTTAAGTTGTCATGAGCCAGCTTTCCAGGTTTGCCCGGACCATCATCATGGGCGTCTATCCGTTTCCGCGAACACACTACCAAACCCTACCTCCACGCTCCACCAGCACAGCGACGGCGAAACGCTGCCACTCGCTGTCCTAGGCATCATCCGAATCCACTGGCGGAGGCACATTTCCGCGCTGTAGCAAAATCGATCGCAAAATGGAGAAACGACCATCCAAATGGCGGGGTGGGTAGAGCTTCATGTGCCTCCTGCCCCCCACCCCCAACCCGTTACCCCCCTCTGGCACAACAACACCACAAGAAACACACAATTCTTCGGCCGGTGTCGACTGCTTCGCGCCATCTCCTGACAACACACCGTTTTCTTCGCCGTATTTTTCCCTGTTGCACAACTCTTTATGGTTCCATGAACAAGACGAAGAAAACGCCACACCAGCACCCACACTCTCAATATTCTCTTTCGGGGGGGGGCTTCCTCGTCCGCCGCTGACCTGTGTGATTCCTAATTCACCGGATTGTCTTGGAGGCTGCTTGCACCTATTGCCTACGAAAAAGCTACGCCACTAGCAACCAGAACACAAGAGGCAGAAAGAAAAGTACGAGTATCAAAATTGTTGACGGTCTCTCTCGGCCGCCATTGTATTAATCTAAAAACACGTAGACAACAAATCTACCACTGATATTTTTCCCAAGCAACATACCATCACACATGTATAGTACCCCTTTTCGTTCTATTTTTCATGAAGCAAGGGCACATGCGTTGCTCCCGTCTGGTCGTCCAAGGGTTATTATGCGTACATGACACTCAAAAAATATCAGAAAACCGGGTACTACATGCGCTTGCGTAGAGAGAGGGACCCCGAAAAATATCCAGCATGATATACTGTTCGTTTGCGGCTGCTCTTCGCCCGCATCCCTCTCCCCGACCCCTAGACAAACGCAATCGGTTTGTGCCCCATTGTCCAACGTCTATGCCTCCTTCGCTCCTGGATCGCCTGGGGGAGTCATGCCACGTTACAACAAAAAACACCAGCGGATCATCTCACCTCTACCGTTGGGACTGCACCAGTACGTATTATCGAACATTGGCCTCGAAATCATGCAAATTTTACATTCGAGCTCATGAAGAAACGACTGTGGACCGAGGGTCCGCCACCGAAAGACAGGCATGACGTTTCTTCTAATATTCTGCGCCCCCTCCCTAGACCCCTATCTTGCAAGAAATACCGTCAACCACGTCATCTGTCCAGCCATACTTTCTCGATACAACGGCCGCGGCATAAGGGCAAACAGCACAATTCTTGTTTATTTTTGCCTTCTCCGGGCAATCCTGCCGCGGTGGCCACCTTGGCACACACCAAGCCGTCGCCGACGCAACAAGGGCAAAGACAGAACGACAGACCCCGGCAATTCCACTCCAGCACCAAACTGCCCGATCTCTGATGAATCCTATCGAGCAACGCTCCGAGGCATCAAAGCACGCCACTTGCCACGATGCGGTGTGACATCATGCCACCGCGCTCTTGGCAGCGCCGGTCTTGACGCCGTAGATGTCGTCGAGGGCCGGGCGGTTCTCCGGGCTGAAGTCGCGGCCGTCCTGCATCTCCTTGCCCAGGCCGGGGAAGCTGTCGACCTGTTGGGAAATGACGACGATTGGTTGGTTGGCTGTCCACGAGGGGGAAACATCGACTTTACCGAAGCAGGATGGGTTGGAATTGACGACGATTGGGCGGGTGCTTGGTTGGTTGGTTGGTTGGTTGGTTGGTTGGTTGGTTGGTTGGTTGGTTGGTTGGTTGGTTGGTTGGTGCCCGCGAGCGAAAAACATAGACCCTACATGTACCGAAGCCGGAAACTGTCGTCCAACTCCTGCGCCCCCCGCTGTGGATAGAACCCTTTTCATTAGTACGCGTGGTTTCTTTTTATCACCCAGCTAAAAAACAACGTTTTTTCAGTCGTCAGCCGGCTAGCGCTGTCGGCGCATGTTCAAACACACACACGAGAGGAGACAAACGTACGCACCTGGATGATGATCTCGCGGGCCGCCTCAACCTCGTCGATCAGCGCCTGCTCGTCGGCGGTGGCCTCGCGCTTCTCGCGCCTCAGGGTGCGCAGGACGCCGTCAGCCTGGACCGCCTTGGGCAGGGTGGCGTCGATGAGCGTCATCCGGCTCATGGGGTCCTTGCTGAGGAACACGTTCTCCTTGAACAGCTCGCGCACCTAGCGAAACCCGTCGTGTGTCGTCGTACCGAAGAGGTTTGGGCCGGGAGGCGGGGGAGGGTCATTCAGAAAGCAAACCAAGGTCCCGAGCAGACAACATTCATACGTCGCTGGCGACGCCAAACCAACCGGAGGTGTTGGTACGCAAGTGCTATCGTATTATTAATCTTTGTTTGGGGGAGGACATGCGATGTCGAGTTGCGCGTGGAATGTTTTTGGGTCGTCTTGTTTTTGCGACAATGAGCCCCGCAACTCATCGTTCTCCCGGTAGACCGCACACCCGCACGCACGCTCTCCAAACATACATGGCGCCCGGAAAAGTATTCGGTCGAGTTACCACCTAAAACAAGCCAAAGAAAAGCGGGGGGTGTAACAACGAGGTGTACACACAGCCACATGGCCACGAACTATCTAACTTTACGTACCTGGGTGTCGGTGGAGATGAGCTGGGACACCTCCTGGGCGAGGGTGTCCGAGGGCTGTGGGTAGCAGCGGCCGGTGGGGAAGGCCACTCCGCGCATGGCGAGAGAAAGCGTCTTGCTTGGGAAGTTTGCGAAGATGCCGTAGAAGGCGTCCTCGATGTCGGCCAGGGTGCGCTTTTTTTTTGGTACAACAACGCGAGAGATGGAGGGGGTAGTTGAGAGCGGTGACAACGAATTTGTCATGAACGCCAGGAAAAGGGGCATGTGCTCGTGAGCTTTTAATTCATTCCAACATGTTCGTCAAGCTTGGACGCTTACTAGAAGGTTGAGGTTGCTTTTCCCCCCTTCCAACTGTTGTCCCGTGCATGTATGACCCAGCGAACAAAGGAAGAGAAATCGTACGGGAAACGAACAACGACGACGCCATCGCCGCCATCGCCGCCACCACGGCCACCGCCACAACCAACAACGACAACAACGTGCTACAAGTGCAGTCAAGCCCATGACATCGGCACTGCCTGCGTTTTTGTTCGTGTCACCTGCATGGCGAAGTCAGTGACCTTGTCCAGCCCCTTGACGTTCTTGTGGTGCGAGGTGTACCACAGGGTCGAGTACCCCAGGAACAGCCCACTCAGCACGTCGGCGTATCGGCCGGAGAGCATCTCCGCGAACTGTCCAATAAAAATAAAAAAAAAACAGCACAACAAACGGTAGCACGAGAAACAAGAAGGCGTTTCGAAAATACAAGTCAGTTCGAGGTGGCATCACAAGACGCGCCGCATCCATGTGCTGCCGGCTTTGAACATCGCAAGATCCAAAGACCGGGGTCGACACCGCGGGCGATGGGAAAATATTGAGCGCACATAGAAACATCACCGACAACAGAGCCAGCTAAAGCGACATCACGGCCTCAGCGCATGTGATTAAACGACAGCTCCCTCTGAACGCCGTGATCACTTTGGCGTACAACGCATACGGTACTTCTTGTTTATGAAGGCGAACAAAATGAAAGCCAAGAAGCTTCTTGGGATACACTGGGTAAAGTAAAGAACGATATCAAAAACTCAATGTTTCAAAGCTCAAGCGAAAGGAAAGAATCGGAACAAGAATTGACCTTAGACGCCATCCCCGACTGAGGAAATACCACACGCAGCACATACACACACACCTTGATCTTGCCGCCCATGGTGAGCGCGATGTCCGAGCAGTAGGCGAACGCGGCCGTCAGGCGGTCGAGCTGAGAGGCGTAGTAAGCCGCCGGGTCGGAGCCGCGGGACCGGCTGCGCGTCAGCGCGCGAGCGAAGGACCTGGTCGAGTTGGCCACGCCGTGCCCGACGATCTGCCCCAGGGCCTTGTTAAAGCCCTGCGACGACGACATTAACACAAAAGTGGACTATTGTTCGGAAATACACGTAAATGAAGTAGTGTTCCCATCATGCAAGACAAACACATTTAAATCACCGCATCTATACGTACTGCTACAGAGAACACGGCCTACCCAACAGATCTGGGCAATAACTTCTATACGCCAAAAAATGAATCCGAAAGCAAAATAGAACAACGCTTGCTGAAAACAAGGCGTGAGAGTTGTCGACGCCACGGCCAGCAGCACAAAGGATGTGCACTTGCATGTACGATGACCGAAAGAAGCACTTGAGGGAAAGGCGACGAGTATTTCTTCTACGCGGTGGCGAGCAGCAATGTGACGCGTGAACCAGTCCGTACGGTTTTCGGCCACATTTTTTCGCCGAAACACGTTGCTCATGATATGGAAAGTGCTCATGGCGTGATAATATCTTGACTCTTCGCGAGTGAGGATTCAAAACGACTTTCTGGTACATGTGTTTTTGAGCAGCCCACCCCCTCTTCCTTGATCTGAATCGCACCTTCTGGTCGTCTCCGTGCTGGATGGAGCGGATGATATCGAGCAGGTGGGGGTGCGAGCGTGTGAGGCCCTGCCCGAAGATGATGAGGCTGCGCGTAAGGGTGTTGGCGCCCTCGACGGTGATGGCGATAGGGATGGCCATGTAAGGGTTTCCCATGAAGTTGGCAGGCCCGTTGCAGATACCGGCCCCGCCCACTGTCGTCACGGAGGGGGTAAAAGCGAGTGCGGGAAAGAGGGAAAGGGGACGACATGCAGGCAGGCATAAAAAGACAGGTGGAAGCAGGGGGAGTAGAGGTTAATGCCACATATAGCACCAGCCTCTCTTCATGACAGCTGTACGAACACGGGCTCGAAAACGAAAACCGGAACACATGACAATCCCACTCACGATCAACACATCAAACACGACAGATGGAACTCACAGACGTCCATGCCGTCGTTGATGTTCTGGCGCATGCGCATGGTCATCTGCTGCTTCATGACGGCAGAGAGCACCGCGGGCTGCTCGTGCCCGTTGAGCATGGAGTTCATGAGGGCCTGTCCCGAAGTGACCAGCAGGGTGTTGCTGCCCACGGACGCCAGGTGCTCCTGGACCCCCTCGAGCTCAGCCAGGGGAACCTGACGATCAAGACGCAAGCAACAAACGGCCAATCAAGGCAAGACAAGGGAGAAGAGTGGTATTGTTGTTGCTGTTGTGGTTCATCGTCTTCACATCACACAAAACCGCAACTCTGCTCAATACCTTCCAAATCCGCGTTGAGAAAAACACGCACTTTTTATACGGCGCTAGACTAGTCTATTGAAGCACACGCGACCGACAAATTAAATACGAAACAACCAAAAAAACGCAAAAAACGCAACCGCCCGCCTTAGCAACCTGCTTGCGAACCCAAAACACAGAAATATAAACAGAGTACCAAACGCCGCTACTTGCACCACCACAACACTAACAACGTCCCACCTTGAACTGCTTGCGGATGCGCGCGTAGGCCCCCACGACGGATGCGGTCATCTTCGACGCCGCCACGGACATGGCTGGCAGGGAGATGCCACGGCCCTCGGCGAGGCAGTCCATGAGCATGTTCCACCCGAAACCGGCCTTCTCGCGGCCCCCGATGATCTGGTCCAGGGGGATGAAGACCTCTTCCCCCTCCACCGTACCGTTCATGAAGCTGTTTTGTCGATTTTTGAAGAGTTTTTCGTGAAGGAACGAAGCAGCCAAACGGGTGAGGCGTGCGTTGTGAGGATCACCGTACCGAGGATACTTGGGGGGACTGCTGTTTGCCATGTTTGTTCTGGTGTGTGCACGCGAGATGATACGCCCGTCAACCCCCAGGAGTGCGTAGAATACCGCGGATGAATCCTTCCTCCTTGTCCTTACCCTTCAGACCGCCACCAGCGTGTCGACGCCGACACCCGCACACATGAAAATCGAGCCCAGTCTGGAGGGTGGAGTGAAAAGCGTCGCTCAAAACATCGCTGTACTAAATACGAAAAGAAAAAAAACAGAAGTTTCGACACGCGGAGGAAAAAAGTGATGTAACCTATGCTAGCTGCCGTGATTCGTTTTCTCGACACAATCAAAGGTGGGGCAGGGAACACGCACGATTTTGCCACAGGCGCGCCGCGGGTTTGGCGGGGCAAAGCTTCGGGAACAGCGGTGGCTTCGGTCACTGCCCGCACGAATCAAAATCTCACTCAAAGGAAAATACGCGCTCGGTCAATCGGCGATAAAAACATGAAACCACCATTCTTCATGCCCATCTACGAAATCTACTACCCGATACCCCCGATACCTACGATTGAGCATCCCGGACAAAAAAGCTGGTCGTACCTGCTGGCGGAAGGGTCGTGCCGGTCGCCCAAACGCAGGCCCGGATGCCCCCTCTCGAGCAGGCAGACCGTGATGCCCTCGTTACCGTTGCCCTTGAGCAGGTTGTTCGGGTCCTGCCACGAACAAAAGAACGATATGACGAGGAAACGTGCACCACCACCGGCCGCGAAAACGATTAACAAGCAATGTAGCAAGAACCTGTTTGAGAATACGCAATGTAGCAAGAACCTGTTTGAGAATACATGGAGCACGGGAGGGTTGCTCGTTTCGCCCGCAGCGGGCCCCTGCTGCGGTGGAGTGCCGCATTCGTCGTATGATCAGCATCAGCAACTCGCACCGGCCCTCTGCACAACCATGGCCGCAACCATTCATACCCACGCCATGGCCAAGAGCACAACGACGAAGGACGAACGCAACAACAACCCCCCGCCCCTCACGGCTGCTGCTGTTCTCCCTACATTCACATTCGAAGGCACCCGAAGCACGGAGCAACAAACTCTTGCTGCCTTCTTGGATACAAGTACAAACCTTGAGGTTGAAAGCCAGCCCGACGATGCCGGCCACGGGCGCGAGCGTGATGTAGCGCTTCTTGAAGGTGGCCCTGACGCCCATCACCCCCTTCTCCTCCGTCACGTAGCCCACGTCGCGCATGGAGGCGGCGTCCGAGCCCGAGGAGGGGCCGGTGAGTCCGAAGCAGGGGATCAGCTCTCCGCGCCCAAGGCGGGGCAGGTAGTTGTCCTTCTGGGCCTGGGTGCCGTACCTGATTCGAGAAGTGGGTTATCCGGCCGGGGGGCCGGGTAAGGGGCGTTTTTTCCAAGGCAAGTCGTATCCTCGAGAGAATAATCGGGAGGAGTAGCACCTCGTTTCACAGCGTGGGCTGTCAGGGTACGGCGTGTTTTGCCTGTTGCTTGTCTCAGTTGATGCACTACTTAACCGCATGCGTCTATCGCACTTTCGACTGAACGTTTAAAGCAGGGGCAACTACTGTTGCAGTCTCACCCCGAAACAATGTAAGCAGAAGCAGCAACATCAGCTAGCAGCCTGACAGCAATCCACCTAGCGGGCGTCACGATTCGCCCTACATTTGCCTCTACCCACGCCTCCCCTGTGTTTCGCTGCCAACACCCATCATACATCGTGTTCTCCTGCCGGCTTACCTCAGGAGGAGTTCGCCGGGGCCCAGGGAGTTGGGTACCATCACGCTAACGGCGGCGCTGCCGCTGGCACAGCTGATCTTCTGAACAACCTGGGAATGGCCGTGAGCCGAGAATCCCAGGCCACCTTGTATAGTCATCGCGCGCGCGGGGGGGGCGGGGGGGGGGGGCAGCATGGTGAATCTGAGGTTAACACATTACTCATTGGTGACTATGGTTGCTGCTGTTGTTGGCTCGTTTGGGATGAAGCCAACGTACAAACATGGTTCCGTGTGGGGCTCCAGATACCACCGCTAAGCAAATTTCATCACAACACTCAACAGCAGAGCATACGACCCCAAAACATCAGATATATGTGTGCATATTGCACAGCCGATAGTCGAAAGTAGAACCGTACTTCGCCAACATCACAAAAAACAATCAAAACTTACGATGACGGCGACACCAAGACTCAAACTCAACAACCCCCTGCTGCCGTGGGCGGCGGTACATTTAACCTTGCAAAGTCGTCATTGCGCATGCATGCATGCGTGCCTCACCGTACTCCTGCGGGATGACCATGCCCAGGAAGCCCTTCTCGCGCATGTAGTCCCACGCTTCCTTGGGCAAGTCTCTGTCCTTGGAGATCTGGTAATCATCAAGCATCTCGCACAGGGTCTCGACCTGTACAGAGGAGGAAAAGCGGCGATAGCAACAAATAGCGACAACGCAAAGCGCGCGGTTGGGGCATCTACTTCGTCCAGCAGCTCGCACACGGGTTCTCAACCTAAAGGAGGAGGAGCGGTGGTAGCATAGCAACTGACACGTGTTTCAAGAATATATGACGTGCAGCACGTAGTTAAGACCGTACGGAGGCAGCTCGTTGTGTGACGTGCCTTAGGAGCAGGTCTACCGCTAGCCTTCTGCTTGATTTGTAAGCATGTTGCGTTTCTCATATACGTTTCACGGTTATCGATCTGCTCCGCCTCTCAATGGGTGTGTGTCCTCTACGGGTACCTTCTTCGCTCTGGAATTGCGTCTGTCAGCTTCCCATCGACCACCAGGAAGCGTTTCGATGCCGCAGACGACCGGCGCGACATCTCTGATTCGTCCGCCAGGTCGGGCTGAAAACAAACCATTCTAGCTCTACGCATACCCCCCCCAAACAAGAGCGGAGATTTCTTGCATCAGCCCTCGTCGGCTCGACTAAAACAGGCCAAACAAGACACGATCTGTTTTGAGTCGACGAACTAGGTACTCACCTCATTGTCGATGAAGGACTGCTCCCGGTCGGTCAACTTGGCGATGGTGTATTTGTCCTTGAGGGACTGCAGACTGGCCGTGCCGTCGAAGATGTCGCGATCGAAGCCGATCGTGCCGGCCTCCAAAGCGGCGGCCTCGGTGGCGGAGATCTTGGGAGTGATCTGCGAAACACACCAGCCAAGCGAGAAAAGGAGCAAAGACAAGAAACGCCCACCCGTCACGAATGAGCCCACGCGAATGTAAGGAGCTGTAGCGGTGACGTTATTATATGGCTTACTACCGTCATCGTTCACGCAGAACAATGGCGTTTGAGGCAGCGGGCGGGCGGAGGAACTCGTCGAGAAATAAAACTGACGACCAGTAAAATTCTACACGGACGGAAAGAAGAAACTCGCAAACATTTCCGAGTCAGTCACCGCCTATGCATACCTCGCGTGAAATTTTGTGAGGAAAACAGAACCAGGGAAGGGGTACGCAGACCAACCCCAACCTTAACATGAGCTTCCCAAATTACAAACTTAATCCAACATGTTTACGTGAACAAAAAGCACTGCGGACCTGCAGCACAACGCACACCAGATTGTGGCGCAAATCAGAAACTGGGGCGGTTGGCGCCGCTGATGTTATCGCAAATCAGAACAAGGTGTGTTGGCAAGTGGGAGGGAGGCAACAACAGGCTCTCTCTTGCCTCCCTGCCGTGCCGTACCCTAGTTCCTTTTCGAAGAGCACAAGAGAGCAACAGCACGCGTTCTGCAGCTGTTTTTCCGAAACACAGGCATCTGATAGGCGAGAAGCTATCGATCTACCACGCACGCGCTTGCAACAATGGCGGGGAGCCATCTACCACGCACGTATGTCGTTGCAACAAGAGCGCCGAACGACTAACGGCTGAGTTTCACCGCCGATGTCTCGCTGTTGACAGCACTTGTTTCCGCTTCCCCACTGCCGCGTTTGAGTTTGCGTTGCAGACAGGTGATGATGCCTTGCGAGTTGTACATGAACCTCCCAGAGAATTCTCGGCCATACATGACAACACAGAACGAGTTTTCCCGAATGAGGTTCTCGTTCGCCAACTCTTGAACTGGCATGCTTGAAAACACGTCAGGGTGGCTTGTCCTTGAAACTGAATCAGAAGCAGGCGCAAGGTACTAGTTGCTGCGCGGATGGATGCCCTCCATGTTCACCGCTTGTATTTTATCCAGCGCCTTCATGTGACTACCTCCGTGCGGAGACCTCCCCACCCCACATACACCACCGTGTGGTCACCGATCGCCAATTCGTATTAACCACACCGCAACGGACAGATACCTACCTACGTACGAGCCAGCACCAACAACCCGAGAATAGACTGCTGCACGGCCTGTGTAAACAAGCACGAAAACGTGTCAACACTTCACAGGTGTAAACACGTCCGCCCTTACTCGGGCGCTTGCACTCCTATCGTACGATGGTGGAGAATCTGGTGACAAGCAACGGCAGGGGTATGCCCCCCGGGGAAGAGAGAGATGTAGACTTGTACGCCCTTGTCTTGATCGGCCAAAGAGAAAAATGTTCGCAAAATCCATAAATCCAACACCTCGTCGCTTCCACCGACCCGCTCCAGCAGTGGGCATGTGGGGATGGATAACGCGGTTATCGGTCACCCCACTGCATACCAATGGTGCACCTATGAAAACACACTCGCGAGTGAACTCGACAGGTGGGGTGAACTCCTCGCAGTATGCTGTAGTCCTGTGTAGAGTAGATATGATCGACTATGGCGGCTTGAACACACGAGGCGGCGGCCCAACTTCAACTGACACCAATTCCTGTCTTGGGGGATGCATACTGCCTTGAAAAAAGCAGCAATCGTGGGCCATCCCGAGGAAACAAGCTTCTACATGAGAGCTAGGTTGGCTGTCTGGCGGGGCGGGGGGTGGGTCGACTCTGGCTCGCTCGAAACAGCATCGAAAAAACACGAAAAAAAAACACAAGAGCCAGTTGAAGTTCAACTCGCCGTAGTCGTCATCTTCCTCCCCTCTTCTTCGGGAGATCTCTCACCTTCTTGGCGAGGTTGTAGGCGGGTGTGATGAACGTCCTCTGCTGGGCGTTCGCGACGGCCCTTCCTTGGACGGCGGCCCGGCTGGTGCCTCGCGCAGCGTAGGCGCCGCGTATAGCGGTCTTGAGTGCGGAGGAAGCGTTGCCGTGATTCATCGTCGGGGGGTCTTGTTCTCACCGGGTGTGCGAGTTCGCAAAAATGGGAAACCTCCGCAAGACGGCTGGTAGCTCACAGGCCTGTGGTATTCGCTCTCTAGTGCTCCCTCAGTCTTCTGGGGCTTGGCTTTCCCTCAAGTTTCGTGGTCCTTGGTCAGCCGTTCAAGTGTTTTCGGTGGGCCGGGTTGTTGTGAGTGGGAAGAGGGGCAAGATGGCTACAGCCGGAGCAGATCCGACCGCGGGGGTCCAACGAATAGAAAATGTAAACGATACATGGCGGGTAATTGAATTTGCGTCACCCCTTTACCCCAAAAATTTTGCGCGTGGTACGGTTCAGTCAAGAAGAGAGCGCGACGAACACATCAGTCGATCAGACTAGCTTGTGCTTGCCTTCTCTTCTTGTCTCGCACATAAATCCCATGACCATGTCGTCGTTCGTTCCCTCTGCGCAGCGCACCGTGGCCGCTGTGGTCACGGCCTCGGCGCTGGGGTCGGTCGCGTACGCGTGGGTGGCCAAGGGCAGTGGGTCGAGGTCTCTGTCTACGACTAGCGCATTCGGCAAGAGGTACGCTGATGTTCGCCTTAACCCCGTCGTCGTCGCGTTTTCTTCCCTGGAAAACCAGGAGGAGGCCATTATCCTCGTCTGTATGGAGAGGAAGGCACGTGTATACGCTGCGTACGCCTCCTGCTTGGTGTCTATGAGTGTAGTGTTCGGCAAGAACCAGAACGTCTCTTTAGATTCGAAAAGCTTTCCGACCAACTCGCACGGAAACACGTCGGCACAGCACAGCAGCAGATACACGTACAGGTAGTTGGAGCACAGGCCGACTCGGTCTGGTTGTTCCGCCGCAGGAGAGGAGATGAATCCGCGCTCCCGGCAGGCGCACGCCCAAAACTGCCAGCCGGGTGCTTCTTGGGACTGCGTCCGAGGTTTGTTGCTTATGCAGCGCGGAGACGAAATTTCAAATTTGTTCCATGCATACTCTCACGCGTGGCCTCCGTACATACATACAATAGTTCGTCCGCTATTCGTCCACCCTACAGCAGCAGTAAGATGTGGAGTGGTGTGGGGGGTTGTCGCCCATTGCTGTTAGAACATTTTGCACGTATGTAAGCGAATAGCAGTGTGCACGTGGTTACACTTGTTTACGCTTCGCCTGCGAACAACACCAGCAACCCTCGGCGTGAGTCGCAGAAGCGGTTATAATCTCTAGATAAACCTTGACCTCCCTGCTTGGACGACCTACTGCAGCATGCGTATTCCAAACTAGTACCAAATTGCCCCAGAGCAAATTGCCCCAGAGAAAATAAACCTCGATTAGCACGAAGCCGCATGTGGTGGTTCCTACTACAAGCTATGTACTTCCAAGCACAATAGTAGGATGATGATGGGTGAATCGCTCCCCAGGATCGGGTTCCTCACAGATACTGTCGAGCGAAGACGTGCTGCTGTACCTCGCTGGCTGTTCTGTTAAGACTGTTGGAGACAACCTATCCTGAGCCACAACCCACAAGCCCACAAGACTTGTTCGATCTCGTCCGAGTAGTCGTCGAACCCGGTCGTCTCAGGGCACGGGAAGGTTAGACCTAAGTGTTTATGGTTGACAAGTGTGATGACCTCGGGTGTACGTCCGCTTGGTCCCATCCTGCACTACAGCAGTAGTTCCGCCACCACCCGCCTCTGATACCAATTGCCTCAAACCTGTTGTCTCAGGTACTATTCGCTTCACCCCCCCCCCCCCCCCCCCCCCCCCCCCCCCCCCCCCCCCCCCCCCCCCC